CTTGTTTAAGTAGGGATTGCATTATAATGCATGATAATATAATTTGTTGTAAAATTCTCAAGAATCCTTTCTACCTTATATTTGGTCAATGTTTGACTGATTAACAGGTTGCCTTTCCAAAAAACATGGACACAGATTCCAGCTCTGCAGAAGTTGGAAATGTGTCCCACTCCAATCCCAAGGTAAGAAAGTATAGATGATGGCCACAGTTCATAAAAGTTTGGAGAATTCATTAATTTTATCTTGACTGATTTTCGTAACCATTTAAAAGGCAACCCTTTCAATGTTTGATTGATACTTTAGACACATTCATACTTGATAACTTGATAATTTATTTTTGCAATTAGATATTGAACTAGATTATTAATCTGTTCTGGTCCATGCCTAAATTCTAATACAATCACATCGCAATTCAAATAAGTTGATCATTACTTTAGAGAAGTGACTACTAATTATAAATGTAGAGAAGGGAAAATCATTGCATATACATAATAAAAATGATCTTTATATATTTATTTATTTATTTATTTTTTGCAGTTTACAATTTTATGTACTTTAGTTAAAATCATTGTACACACTTTCTGTAGCTTTCTGTAGCAGGATAGAACGAACAAGCGATGTGTGATGTTATTTGATACCTTCTGGGGACATTGACCTGTATTTTAACTGTCTTTATGGGGACACCTTGTTTAAGGGTGGATTGCATTATTTGCATGATAATATAATTTGTGTAAAAATCCTTTATATTTGTCATGTTTGACTGATTATAGGTTGCCTCAGGTTGTTGGTCATGAAAGTAACATCAGGTAAGGAACCTGTCCAGTAATAGAGGGTTTTCACAACGCGTTATCAATTCGGAAGTCGGACATTTTTGGAGGCACTTAACATAAACAATGAACGGACTCGCACATTTGACTGATTATCTGTTTTTAAGGTGTTTACATGAATGATAAATAAAGTGATCGGGTTGATGTGCGCGTTTATATGTCACAAGATTCAAATCGGAATTGATTATTTGACATGCGCACACTGCACGAATATGCCACTGTTCATAAGCATAAGCATAACTATTCTCCACTATTGGTTCTGTATTTGTTTTAAACAACAGACTTTTTTATCTGTGTTTTTTAATTTGTATCCGTCTCTGGTCATGATTTGGAGACGATGAGCATGAACTGTTTTGCCGTGCTGATTGTATTTATCACGCAGTAAAACCCCGCACCCAAAAGTCGTGTGTGGATGAGAATGTAAAACAAACACTGGTTTGACGCTGTCCTGCTTCACTTCACAGACATGGAGTGAAATGAGAATTTTTTTAATAACGAAACATTCATTTATATGACACTTTATTCAACAGGAAGAACAGCTCGTTCCGTGCGTCATATGTCATTACGCTATTTCAACGTCATTGCACATGCGCAGTTCTTTTAGTTTCGGTTTTCAATCCGATCAAGTGTTTACATGTTCTCTCGCTCGGATTACAAAAGGAGTAAACCACCCCTTTCAATCCGATCGAAATTCTAGTCGGATCGAGCTCAATCGGATCGATTAAGGTGTTTACATGAAGGGTTTTTAGTCCGATTGAGCGGTCAACGGCAGCGACTTCCAGCATGTCTCCTCTAACAACCTGACGTTTACATTTTACATGCCCGGGGAGACACATACCACCCGAAATCCGATCGTTCAGACTGAGGCATGTCCTGGTATTTGAATAGGATTTCAAACCACATATGGATGTAGCTTGAAACGGATTTCATGTGCTTTTTGGACTGACAATTTGAACGTAGCCTATGTCAGGATAAGTAATAGAAGGAAGAATTGCAGTAGCTACGGTCTAGAGAAGCTAGCTCGTTCTGACCTTTACCACATATTAACTTTATTTTGTCAAAACGCTCTCTCCTGCTTGATAAGTCCTTCTCTGTATGATTTCGCACCTACCACAGGTTTTTTCCCGTGTTTTGTTTGTGAAACAATGTGTTCAGTAGTACATGAACAGTGCAATCCATGCTGTTGTTTACATCCGAGTGCCTCCATAATGGCCGCTCATCCGGGTTACCGCCCAGATCGTGACGTCTGTGAAAACCCTCTATAGTTTTTATTTGCTTTATTTATAAAAGGTCAACAACATCATAAAGAATAGTATAAAAAAAATCCAGTCTTGGACCTACAACACATGCAGTGCAATTAATGTAATTTTCTTGTCATTAGTTCCTAGGAAGAGAAAGTGGAGTGAGGTGGAGATTGCGGCTGTAGAAGAGAAAATGATGAAATTTATTCACTCGGGAGTTACTCCTGGAAAAGTCGACTGCATGGCATGCATTACAGCAGCCCCCAAAGCCCTTGGTGAACGAGACTGGCAGGCGGTGAAGTATTATATAAAAAAACAGAATCACAGAATATGAGAGAAGGACCACTAAAAAGTAAGGTTGATTTTGGTTGTTGATTCAGTTTTTGTGTTTTAGCTGAATTATATCAATCTGTTTTTTTTTGGTCTCAATACCATTGTTTTTTTTGGTCATTATAATATTATAATGTTATTAATTAATTAAGTTTTGAAAGAGTTAGAGGAGAACTCCGGTCAATTTTAACATTGAGCTCTTTTTTTGTACATTTAGAGTGCTGTCAGTACAGACAAAAATGACAAAAATCAGTGTTGCCTACATCGTGTTATCCTATTTTTAAAATTCGCACCCTGTTGACTTCAATGGGACATGTTCTAAACCTGCTTTTAGCCTCTTAAAGGGTTAGTTCACCCAAAAATTCTGTCAGTATTTACTCACCTTCATGTTGTTCCAACCCCGTAAGACCTTCGTTCATCTTCAGAACACAAATTAAGACATTAAGATCACTCCTGCATACTAGTCCATAGGCTTCTTGAGGGAATGACACTTGCTGGCCTCAAAGTCATTAAAGACATCGTTAAAATAGTCCAAGTGACTACAGGGGCTCAATCTTAAGTTTATCAAACGACGAGAACACTTTTGTGCGCAAAAACAACAAAAATAACGACTTTATTTCAACTATTGGTTTATTTCTCCCTCTGCGCGAGTCAGGTTACTAGTTTAATAGCGTAAGCTTCTGTTATTGTACGTCACACGCATCACACACATGACCAGCGTCGGCCAATAGTGAGCCTACGTGTGACGTAGCTTTACGCAATCACACTACGTTAACTGACTACAGGCCCATGGAGAAGGAAGTGAATAGTTGAAATAAAGTCGTTATTTTTGTTTGTTTTTGCGCACAAAATGTATTCTCGTCGTTTGATAAAGTTAAGATTGAGCCCCTGTAGTCACTTGGACTATTTTAACGATGTCTTTAATGACTTTTCGATGCCAGCAAGAGTCATTCCCTCAAGAAGCCTATGGACTGTATGCAGGAGCGATCTTAATATCTTAAATATCTTAATTTGTGTTCTGAAGATGAACGAAGGTCTTACGGGGTTGGAACAACATGAGGGGGAGTAAATACTGACAGAATTTTCATTTTTGGGTGAACTAACCCTTTAACATCATTGATTTGTCATTACAAGTGCACAGCCATGTGAGTGGTGTTATTAAGAGTGACCACGGTCAATCGGACTGCAGTAGATGTGAAAGATATGAATAAAAATGATGTTAATTCAGCCAGCACACATGCCTGTGTTTACTTCCTGTTTTCAGTCGAAGTCCACAGTAGTCGATTGTCGAGTTCGCGCGCGATCATTGGTAACTAAGCAACAGTGGAGACTCAGACTGTCAGCTGTCAGCCTATGACGGTGCTGTGTGGTGTGCTTAGAACATCAGCTCAAATGGATAGTTCATCCGAATCAGATGTTGAACATCATTTAGTTACTAATGATCGCGCGCGAACTCGACAATCGACTACTGTGGACTTCGACCGAAAACAGGAAGTAAACACGGGTATGTGCGCTGGCTAAAAATTAACATTTTCATTCATATCTTTCACATCTACTGCAGTCCGATTGACCGTGGTCACTCTTAATAACACCACTCACACGGCTGTGCACTTGTAATGACAAATCAAGGATGTCAAGAGGCTAAAGGCAGGTTTAGAACATGTCCCATTGAAGTCAACAGGGTGCGAATTTTAAAAATAGGATAACACGATGTAGGCAACACTGATTTTTGTCATTTTTGTCTGTACTGACAGCACTCTAAATGTACAAAAAATGAGCTCAATGTTAAAATTGACTGGAGTTCTACTTTAAAACAGTTTGATGTGGTTGTAAATTTGGTGCTTGGACTTCCTTGTTTTTAAGTCTGCAGGCAAAATGCTGTGTCAGGGGATGAGTTGGTGTAAATGATTTTTTTCTAATTGCGTAGATTAGTTTTACTGTACAGTAGCCATACGACAGAGTGCCTATAGTTTTCAATACCTTAATTAAAAATGTGAAACGTAAAGGGGACTGAATAGTGTTATGGATTAAATTTTAAATTGATAAATGTATTTTCTGATGGCACATTAGACGAAGCACTTCATAAAAAATATATGTTGTAATATCTGGTGGCAAGCACGGAACCCATACTGTACTGATTAAATTTGGCTGTAAATTCAATTTGTATCAAGGTTGTTTTTATTTCTCTTGGATTGTTTTAATGACTTAAAGATTCAATTCTTAGAGCATTTCAAAACAAGACCAAAAGCTCCATTCCACTGATAACGTTCATAATGTTAGACAATTTAAGAATTGTAGCTCTGATCTTCTAACCTTCCCAAATGTGTTATTACTGGTTAACTACAGGATTCTTAACTTTACTTCAAACATAATACATACTTTTAACAATTGCTTACCATTTATACATTTAATTGGTTTGGTCATTTTTTTTTTTGTGTGTGTGTGTGTATCTACTTGTGTGCTCTGTCGGGTTTAGGGTGAGTGAAGCACTCTGTGACAACTTTTTTTAAAGGGCTTTATAATATAAATTAGATTGACTTTGACAACTTTGCTGCTCAGCAAAATCACATTCAATGTATGGCTCTCATGGGTCATAATCAGTAAATGTAGCAACTGAATTGTGTAAGAATGAGTTAAATGCAGTATATGATTGTGGCAGTCTTGGAGGACTGAAATGACTTGCAGTTGAAGATTGCATGTTCAAGTTCATTTAAGTTAAGCTGAACTAACTTATTAAACCACCCTATTTTTAACAAACCAATATAACTTCCAGAAATACCATTATGAATTGGCCAGCTGGCCATATTATGACCTTTCTTTGTCTGTAGATTACACTGGTTTGTCCCCAGATTGGACATCCATGTGTACTTATTGATACACTAGTTGGTCAGGGTTTTGTCCCCAGATGGGATTTCCTGTTAATGCTCATATAAGGAGTTGTCCCCGTGTCCCCACATGTGTTAACCTGACCTGTCCCCAGATTACCACCTACCCTTATTTTAATGAATTAATTACATTTTAAGAGAGATATTTATTAAACTTTTATTTTTTGATTTTTTGATATGTTTATCTAGTCTCTAGGATGCCAGGAAAGTGGTGTCCCCAAAATGTGGTAAATAACTGGTGCCCCCACGAGGCACCCCAAACAAGTATGTGTGTGTGTGTGTGTGTGTGTGTGCAAGAATATGTGGTAATTATGAGCCTTCTGCTAGGTGCATGTGGCTGTATAAAACTTACTGTCGGAGATGAAAAACTTTTAATTGGGGAGTAAGATGTACATACGTGTGTGTGTGTGTGTAATTCAAGAGCATTTGTGGGTTGCAGCATTCAGCTTAAGTACCATGGTGGGGACCATTCAGAATTTAATTGAAAATGCTTTTAAAATCAAAAGATTGCAAACAGGATGCAGAATTGCAATTCAAATCTGGAATTCTAAAGCAAATTGAAAATAAAGTAAAATAAAATTTAAAAAGATAGATGTACTCATAGTAACATAAAAACAAAGGGCCTTTCCTCAACACTGCTCCTTCTCAAGTGCTGCTGACTCATACACTATGCCACTCCACTCACCTGCGTGCATATGACAAGTACAATGGTGTCCACTCCTGGTCCTGCTGGGTAGCAGTGTCTTCTGGCTTTTGTTGGGCCTCTGAGTATTTTGGTCTTTGATTGATTGATTACAGTGTTCCCTCAGCTGGATTCCAGAGCATAAAAAAAATGGTTTCGGAGGCACAGGTACAGAGGCTGATTGATAGGAGGTAGCTAAAGCCTGCTAAAATCATGGGCCGAGAGGACCAAGACTGGACACCACCGACCTTTACCAGAGATGAGATGTTTTACTCTAGCCAGACACTAAAGCCCCCGTTCTATCTGGCCATTGCCTTTCCTGAACTGAGCCAAGTAAAACTAGACTAAATGCAGATCATGGCTGGCTGAATGGGATGGTTTAGTGCCTGGCTGGGAATTGGGGCTTTGCGTGCTCCAGAATGAAGAATGACCATCCCCTCTGCATGTGCATTCAAATGGCACTCCATATCTCTCTGTGGGTGCTAAAGCAGGCTCCAGTCGGACCCACCGTTCATACCGCTATAGATGCTCCGGTGATGAGGGGACATCTCCTCCACGCCCGGCCTCTTCTGTACTACCTCTCGGGCGGGGCTGCCGAATTTGCTGTGCTGATGCCTCGACAACTCTGGGCTCCCAGATACGACACGACCCTTCTGAAGGTGCTCCGGTGTCCCTAATAGAATCTGTTTGGGCTCTGGACTCCCACACATACTTCCCATGCTAGCCCTGTGCTTCTGGAAAAGGTCCGGGCTGCCAGGTGGCTGAGAGGACACCAGCAAGTGTTTCGATAACTGCTCTGGACTGCCTCTCGGCAGGCTCTTGCCAAGTTTCTCTGGACTGAAACCCCGTAGGCCCTTATGATCCGGACTGGAGAAGGACCCACAGCGAGACCGGCACACCTGGGGATAGGTGTGCGCTGCATACTCCTGGCTGGTGCTATGTCTCCGGCTTGCATGCTCAGGACCCGGTGCCTCCTCCCCTGAGCCTGGCTTATGTAGGTGGTCAGGACTGCCTCCAACCGGGCCACCCAACAGCTGCTGCTTATGTGTGAGATGGTCAGGGCTGTCGGTGCTGCCCGCGCTGGAGGTACTGCTCCCGTCACCCACATCTCTTAGAAGACCAGGCCCAGGACCGCTGGCGTGAGACAGGCTGCTCTGGCTATCGATTGAATTCCTGCAGCCGGCTGGTCCCCCGGTACCTGCTGACCTGCCGGTACCTCCAGAGCCCTTCTCCTCATCCAGCATAAGGCACAGCTCTCTCAGTTCAAGGTTCTCCCTCACTACTTCCTCCTGCCTCTGTTCCAGCTCTTTCAGCTTCTGCAGGTACAGTGTCACCTCCTTACGCATGATCCCAGCGCTGTAGCGGCCCAAGCGCTGCCACTCCCTCGACACCTTCTTTCCTTTCTGCCGGTCATCATCCAGAAAGCAGCAGAGATCCCGCAGCTCCTGGTTGTCCTCTTGAAGCTTCTGATTCACCTCCTGGAAGAAAAAAAATCTATGACTCAACACTGATGTCTAAGCAGAGCAAGTTTGACTGGTGAAATTGAAGTTATATATATATATATACTGTTGTGACTTCAGCTGTCAAGATGGGCCTACTTATAACAAAATATTCTTACTTTATTTATTTATTTATTTATTTTTTAAATTTCATACTACAGAAATATTACTGTAGTGGTTTTGTTGCCATGTAGCATTATGTTATTCTATGACAACATTACATGTAAGGTATTTAACCCTGGTGTACCTTTATGCCAATCACAGAGAATGCATGTGCCAGGAGGTGAATCTTAGAAGAAAAAAATATTTAAAGCTGCACAACATGCTTGTGTAAACAGGCCGTGTGTAAACGTGTAAGATTGACGCATTTTTTAAACAAAATATATGTTTTTACACACAAAAAAATCTTTTCGTTAGCCTCATAGCATAATTGCCTAAGTCGTGGTTATTTAAAATATTTCTAAGGCAATTAAGCTAACGTTTTGTTTGATTAGTACTAAAACGATGTGGCTTTTCTTTAGTCGACAAGATGCAGGCTTGCCTTACCTTCAGCCCTCGTATCTCGTTGAGATGCTGCTGAAGCCTGCGGTTCACCTCTCGGATGAGATTGCTGTGGTCCACTATAACGCTCATCTTCTCGGTTTCGGATCTGCGCAGCCGGTGAACCAGCTCCTCCTTGTTCCATTTCAGAAGCTCCTCGTCCGTGAGTTTGGAGAGATCCTCTGAGGGACCTTCCGCGCTCTTAGATGTGCTGGACTGCAGCTGAGGCTGGATGGGCTTTTCCATTCTTCCGAGCAACTTATCGAAGTGCAAGGCTGTAAAACAAATCGCCGAAAAGCAGATCAAATCCTTCGTTGGTACTTTTCCGCGAATTCCCCCTTGTTAGTATCGAATTTCTGTGACTCCCATTTTAAGAATAACTGTTCTGCCCATGCTGTCCCCTCTGAAGACAGGGATGCAGCCCTAAAGTGCCGGCGAATAGTTCTCCCTTTTATCCACTTGCTGTACGGGTGGACCCTCTGTCTCTATGTTTCCACCTGTCCGTCAGCATCCTGTCAAGCTCAGTGCAGTGCTGAACCCGTACCTTCTGTCCGCGCGCATGAGGAAGACGCACGGCCGGTCGCTTGAGCTCGGGGTGCGTGACAGCAGCCTCTCAAATTGCTCGACTGGCTGAGTTGTGATTCTCTCTCTCTCTCTCTCTCTCTCTCTCTCTCTCTCTCTCTCTCTCTCTCTCTCTCTCTCTCTCTCTCTCTCTCTTGCGTTACACGCCCCCTTCTCTTGGAGACAACTAACTTTTTGTTATTGGGCGCCACTAGGTGGTCATAATTCAAGCCTACACCAAGTTGACCATTTGAAGTCATAATTTGCAAATTTAGCATATTAATAATATAATAATACATTTAAAATATTGATGGTCCTAATTGGTTCGAAAGGGAAATTTCTGATGCCTTATTATACCGCAAACTTTTATAACCCAGTTAATAAATTGCACATGTTTGAACATCTATTTCTTGTAAAGCATTAACAGTGAAAATGAAAGAGATATAGATATCACCTGAGCCGCAGCCACCATTTAATTTTAGTATAGCTCACCGCTGCTTTTCATCCTACCACTTTTAATTTGAATTAAACAGGCAAATTATTTATGAGGAAACGTTTCACTTTTTTCTCAACTCTGGTGATTCCAGCTGACACTATTAAGCAAGCCCTTACTTTGCCTGTTTAGTCAATTCAATAATTATTCATTTCTAGTCATTTAACTGACACTTTTATTCAAAGCAATTTATTGTACAATTATTACTGGAGTTACTAATGATGAAGTGCCTTGCTCAAGGACACAATGCTGCTGAGTTTGTCATTATTCACTTAATCTGTCATTGTGCTTTAATGCTTTTCTGGTGAGTTTATATCATTTGTTGTGCCCCCTTTGTAAATGCATGTGGAAATATCTATTGTTCTTTCCTCACTGTTTTTAGCAGGTCAGTTGTTTCCTTGGTGTCATTATGGTAGTTTAGAGGGGAGGGAGAATTCCATGAAATGTTAAGGGTGTGTCTATTTGATGACACTAGACAAGCACAGTAAACAGCCTGTGAATCTATTTGTCATCTTGCAGTGCAATGGCGAGGAATCTACCTTCAGCTCTGTGTCTCCTGTTTGGACTTATCTGCCTCCCATATACAGAATGTTGGGAAGCACCCTGGTTTTGTCATGGATATAAGTGTCCCATGTACACCCTGGTAAAGGAATATCAGGTAGGCCTATGACTTTTGTTTTTTTTTTTTTTTTTTTTTAGTTTGCAATATTTTAAATTTGGTTTATTACATGTAAAATTTTGATTATTGTTATATTGAAATTGTTTCATTGTGTTAATAAAACAAAAAGGGATTTGAGGAGCGCAGCTACAACATGAGCTATTGGATTGCCACTGATATAACGAGTACCGGCCAGAGTGATATAAAGGATGGATTTTGGAAACTGTATAATTTTAATCAAGGACAAAACAGTAAGAGTAAGTAAGCTTCAAGGTTTTGATGGAGAAAATAACCCAATGTTAATTTTCACTCATCTTATTTTTATGGTAATTTTACTTCTCAGGTAAGGTGATTGATATGACCAGGCCTGTGCTGGTGTCGGTGAAGGAAGCTGATGGTATGGGGGAGAGACAGGTGTCCATTTCCGTCTTTCAATCTGACTCAGACATCCCTGAACCCACTGATACGACCATCAGAAAAACTGTTGCACCAGCCGGTACTGTCTATGTCAGGTTAGTAGTTTCAATAAAGAACGACAGTCAAAAACTGTTAATTTTCTTGTTTCTCATTTAAACATACTCTCATTGCTGGGCATTACAGGTCATTTGGTGGTATGGCTTCTGATCAAGACGCCTTAGAGAATGTGCAGCAGCTCAAAGACGACCTCAGGGCTGCAGGAAAGGACTTTATTGAAAACAGGTTTGATGCAGCTGGCTATGACGCACCGTGGGATTTGATCAACAGGCACAATGAAGTTTGGGTTCGAGCACCCTGAGGATCTGTTCCTTATTCCTAAGTTCCAGTCTGTTCAAGAATGTCTTACATATGGGGAAAACATTTATATCGCTTTTCACGTTACAGCCTTAATCATTGTGTTAACGTGATTTAGTGCAATCTATTGTGCAATCTAAGTGTAGAAGCACATTTGGGATTATAAAGTGCAATATGTGGACTATCTTCTACCTCTGTAGGTTCACACTGACAATTATTTGAAAATAAAACTTTTGACTTTCTTCAAAACATTTTTGTTCTTTTTTATTATACGTTTTATGTAAGGCATTCTGTTTTTCTTTAAATCAATTCACCTACTTATTGACTGATAGAGGTATCAAATGAATGAACCTGCATAAAATAAGTGCATTTCAATAAGCAGAAGATGAATGGCCTATTTAGAAAATATACAGATAGACACTCAAAAGGACACAAAATACTGAACGTTTCAAAATACAAGTGAAACCGGTTTAAGAATGACCGGAATGGGGTTATCATGTTTCTCATCAGCTATTGTTCATGTAAGAAACTCCACCCACTTAAACCCGTCCAACTTGTGATCCACAACCCGTTTTTGGGCTGTTAATGAAACTATTTGATTAAAATAATGAGATGCACTAAGGAAATGTAATGCTGTGAATGTGAATCTTCCAGTTTGTGAGTTAGTATAAAACTACAGTATGCATTCAACATTCAAAACATGTAAAATCAAACAAACATGTGACTTCTTTGAACATTTTTGTTTTTGCAGGCATGTGCATAGTGACCTAACTTAAAATAGTGAAAGTGTTGTTTTGCGTCCATGGTAGTGTGATCTGGGATTCTTAGGCCTAAAAAATTGTGTTTGTGTGATTGTTTGTTGATGGGGTTTCCCTCCAGTGTATAATGTACTTACTGGAAGGAAAACTGGGTCAGCCCACCTGAGACGTTTGTCACGGTGACTGATCTGGAGTCAGTTTAATTAGTCGCATCTTCTCTAGCAGGGGGGAAATGTGATGAGGCTGCATTTTCCCACCTCTGCTTCACTATGCAATTCTTCCACAAAATGTGCCAGCAACCTCACCTGAGAGAGAGCAAACGTGTGGTTGTGCCTCTTTGAAAACTTGCTCTCTCTGGCTGGTTAAATCATAGGCTAAGGCATTGTTAAATAATAGGCTATGTAGCATACCAACATTGAAACCAAGTCAAAAATTAGCTTACTTTACATAAAACTTCCCATTACTTACAAAACACAAAGACAGACTGGCTTACTATTTTCATCACATTGAAACATTGCCCATATATGATAACTGGGTTTACACCTGGTATTAAACTTCACCAAAAAATTGTAAATTCTGTCATCATTTACTCTACCTGTATGAGTTTCTTTCTTCTGCTCAACACAAAGGACAATATTTTGAAGAACGATTGGAACCAAACATTGTTTGGCATTGGACTTAGTAGAAAAAAAAAATACTATAGAAGTCAATGGTGCCAAAGTTCCAATCGTTATATAATGGTGCCAAATATTGTCTTTTGTGTTCAGCAGAAGAAAGAAACTCATACAGGTTTGCAACAATGAGTAAATGAGAGAATGCTCATTTTTGGGGGGAGTAGCCTATTTAAGATGCATTTTGGTCGATCGGAGAAGAAGTGTACAACGCTAAATACAAGTGTAAATATGGTCTGAAACGTTTTGAGCTTGTCCACTTTCGACCCCTTGCAGAGGTAGTCGAAAATGCATTCAACCGGATCGCTTTCTGTAAATGTGGTCGAATGTGTCTCAGCTGCAAGAGAGACTCTCCACCTGACCCAATGGGTAGACATTATGGAAGTGCGCTAGTCAAAATTTGTCGGCTGGAGAGTGGAAAGCCAAGTTTGGTTTGAATATGAAAAACGTAAGCATAATGTTCTCTCACTATTCCTGATGTCTAATACCCACTCACTACATTTGGTAGTGAGCATATGACACTGAAGCTTTATTCCCATTCCTGTCTAAGATTGTGGAGAAGTTGTAGCCTATATGACCAACTACAGTCTCACCTTGATGAGAATGTAATCACTGAATTATTCTAATCTGGGTTTAAACTCCGGCATAGCACAGAAGAAGCATTTTTAAGAAACACAATGTAGCATTTCATTGTTTTGCGGATGATATAGGCCTACAAGTCTACCTTCCACTCAGCACAAATGACTTACTCTGTAATTAAAACAGTGTTAAAAATGAACACAAAATATGTGTAAAAGGATTTGTAACACATTTTGAGTTACTACCATAGCGTTACTACAGACACATCACACATGATGTGTAGCCTAAATATTTTGCTCAACTGTTATACAATTACTGTGTTAAACACATTTAGTAGTAGCCTACATCATGTTTATATAATAGGCATATTCTGTTTCAGATGCTCAACAGGCGATGTCAGCTTGAATGACTGGATTTATTTATCATTTTGCAAATGTGAATAAAGTCAAGTCAGCCGCCGAATAGATAAAAAAAAAAAACAGCGCTGCGCACTCGGGTGTACGGCTGTTATAATTGGACCTGCCACAAGAAAGCGCTGTTTTCGACACTCTTCATACTTCGTTTGAATCTTTTCCCGGAATAGTCAGGGGAAATGAGGCTTCATGAGGCTTTTTTTTTTTTTTTTTTTGTCTCGGTGCGCGTTCATATGTAAATTACACAAGCTTATTTTGTCGATACATTGATTTACCCGCCCATAGACCCTCCACTTCGAAGAAATCCGAACAGAAGTGTTTGAAAGTGGACAAAAGAGACAGTTTAAAACAAACACCAGGTGTTGTGTCAGGTATGTGTCTCCCTCATCTAGGCTACTTGTGATCTGAACGTATTTTAAGGTGTAGACAGGGCTGACTCATTGACCAGTTAAAAGCAAATACAGCAAATACACACTCCTGTATTTAACAGCTAAACATGTTAAGTTGCATGCAGGTTTATATTATTGTACACTAGGTGGCAGCACTGACTTTTGTGATCTTTCTATATAGCACTTTACATCGCATGGCATCAAATTAATCTACTCAATTTGTGCATGCCCAGCTTTCATAAAAAAAAAATGCCTTACCTAGATATTAGTGCTAAATATGCTATTGTTTTTAGAAGAAGTTTGAGCTAGAAGAACGTGTGGGAAGTTCCAATGTCAGAACAAAATCCACTACCCAGCATGCCTCAGCTCTCACCATGGGAAGCTGGACACTCATTGCCCCTCAAACACACATTCACTCAGTTGCCATGGTTACATTTCTATAGTAAGAAGTCAGCCATGTTCGTCAAAAAACATAATTATGCTTCAGTGAAGTCAGATCTGTAATAACCCTAGATGTGTTTTTATGAGTCATAGAGAACTTGGCGTGACTACTTGCTTATAAAGTGGTATTTTCATCAGCAGGCCTCATGACTGTTGTGTTCTGCAGTTCATTTAACGCTAGAGCTTATTCGGGTATTAGATTGATGCTTGGAAATCAGTGCATACTCATCTAGCGTATGGAGGATGGGAGATGTTTGGCAGTTCACAATAAATAAGAGACTTGGAAAAACAGCTTAATTATCTAATTTACTGGCACATTTTTATTTTAAAATTCTGTCTAGGCTTGTGTTTGCTACTTGAATGTGTCCAATAAAAGCCTGTCTGACTTGGAAGGTTATGTCAGCATATGTTTGCTGGCTTGTGAATTTTAATCTGCCCTGTTTTGTATGATGTTCTTGGTGTGGAGGCTCAAGCCAAAAGCCTGTTTGGACTGGCTCATGGGAATTAATCTTATCAGAGACGGGCCAGTTTCCTGAGAAAATGTCTGGAGCTATGCTGTCAGATAAGGCAATGTAGGAATGCAAGAGCAGTTGTGCATTTCAAGAGAGTTTTTAACCATATATTATGCCAGCCGTGTGTTATGTCTGTGTGACTGGTCCTACTCGACCAGGCGGGATTCCAACTGGGGTCTCTGGCATGGGAGGCGGGCACGCTAACTAAGACACTAAAGACCGCAGCCCCTAGCACCAGGTTTACACTCACAGCTCTTACTGGCCTACGTCCATTACACATGATCTGTTTTTACACCCATCTGTTGATTGGCTTATCTCTGTTTCTCTCTCTCTCCATGTATTTTGAAGTCCAAAAAAAACTTGTCAATGCTCTCTGTTTTTCCCATGAGTTGTTTTCATCTTTTTACATAACAGATGATTAAAAATACAGTTACTTTCAGCCAAGAACAATGTTTTTTTTATTTTTTTTTTTATCGTTGTTTCGTGTTAAAATGTCCCTCATGATTACACCACACAATTTATAATTGATGATGTGCAAAACACGAGGCCACCAAACCACAAAAAAGTGCTGAAACTCATGGCTGTCACCGGAGCTCAGATGCTGAGGCAGCAAATCTCAACTAAAGTTTGGCCCCAATGGATTCTCATTTCTATTAATTAACCATCTGCGACATACATAACGATTGGACTGTGATAATGAGATTGACTGTCATACATAGTGTGTTCAATGTCCAAAAGCCTCAGACCATATTGAAATCTAAATTAAATAGGAAACATGGTGGAAAATAAATGCTTTAAATTGTATTATTATTAGTTCTAATAGGCATATTTGTAACATTGAGTATGTAACACTGAGCTTAATTATCTAATTTAATTAACTTAATTATCTTAATTATCTAATCACAAGTCACTAATCAAATAGGCATATTTGTAACACTGAGTATGTAACTGTTTTGTTCAAAAGGTCAGATGTTCTTGCTTCTTGCAAGTGGTTTCAGACTATAGTGATCATTAGACTCACACTTCCTCCATTACAGTGCTTAAGAGGAAGTGCTATTATGTCTGTTGTGTTCCTAGTACAGCATATGGAGGTCAGCATGTAGGACGGCAGAGCTCATAGCAACCATTGGATTCCTTGAGGGTCAGCGCTATCCCTTCCCATCCCTTTACCTTGATCACTTAACCAATTTGGAAGCTCCCCCAATTGTGAATCTCTGAGTTTAGAGTAATGAATTATAGATTAGAGTTTTTCCAAAAGACATGTTGGGGATTTTATCATAACATTTTTTTGTCTTAAGCATTCACTCAGCTTTCATTAAAATTTAAGGACAATATTTCTGCTTGACTTGAATCTAAAATGTTTGGATTTAGGCTTTTGTCACAATACATGAGCGTTGAAATCCCAGTCACAATTCAAATTCTACTTTGTTGACAATTTAAGTACACACGCGTTTAACAAGTGAGTATAATGAATCATATCTTTAAATT